CACCAGGAGACACCTCAGGATTGGGCGTTGCGACAGTCAAAGGGTTAATATGGCATCTTCAAGACTAATAAGACACTCTTCGTGATATTAATGTGTACCTGCATGCCAGCGCAGTGTGTAAGTTTACTTAGGTACAGGTACACATAATTATATAAGTATCAGTTATAATAATAATGTAGGTATGTAGTCTGCCTGGGCTACATACCTACACCTGCCTACATAGCTACACCATATTTAATGTGGCCCAGAGCCATATTACCATCGACATACCATGTTCACCGAGTTTAATCGTTTATAACAACTATCTTTAGATGCCATCATAAACAAAGGTAGAAGGAATGAATAATTCATGCCGAGAATTGTAAACAAAAGTGTTATGTATTAAGGGGAGTGACAATGTTTTCCCTCTGCCTGGCTACCACATCTCCATAGTATATAATCATAAAATGCTTGTGATATGTAATGTGTTTCTTATATAATTTTGAAGAAAATATCATAGATGGATTAATGAAAATGTCTATATTAATGTAAAATATGACAGTTAATGTGCCCAAGAGTAATTATTATTAGAACAGTGGACCCTCAGTTAATGCCTTTAACCCCTTGACTGCACGCGCGGAATTGTCTTCACTGGCTTTGTAAACAATGGCAAACTGGCTGGTAAACCGAGTGAATGGCCAGGCCCGCGCAGGGTGCCGTGCCGACACGTTCGGGATGAAAGCTCCTAACCGAGTTTTTAGGGGTTATCCAAGCCAATTTTTTTATGCCAAAGCGAGGCATTATCCGATTTTGGCGTTAGCTGATGCAGGCGTTAACTGAGGGTCCACTGTATTACATAATGTTTTCCCTCCGCCTGGCAACCACCCCTCCATAGCATATAAACAGCATATTTATATGCTGTTTAACGTGTGTCTTATATAATTTTGAAGAAAATATCATAGATGGATTAATGAAAATGTCTATACTGATGTAAACTTAAGACATTTTGTGTGTTCAAGGGTGATTATTATTACATAATAGAGAGATGTGTTCATGGAGAATGTAAACAAACCTAGTGACGCATGCTGTATTTGAAAGACCACTTGCCACATAAAATGTTTTGGCCATAATTTGAGATCGCCGTATTAGTGGAATGCCATAAGGCAAAATGCCGAAAAGCGGGACCCTAATGTATACCAAAAATGTTATAAATGGTGCAAAGGTGACATTAAAACAATATCAAAGATGTGTCTAAATCTTCATCTTGTTGGTATTGTATACCATTCTTGTACAATATTGAAGATGGTTGGCACAAAGTACCATTATAGTATGCTCCTCACTTAGTAATGAATTCGTTTAATGACGTGGTCTTAGGAACGGAACTCCATTGTTAAGTGAGGAGAGGCTGTATACAGTGCATTCGTGTAGAAAAATCTTATAAATGATGTAAAGGTAACATTAAAATAACATTGACACAAACCCACTACCAGTATAGTATGCTACTCGCTTAACAACCAATTCATTTACCGACTACTCTTAGGAATGGAACTCTGTAAAGTGAGGGGAGACTGTATATCATGAATATATCGATGATACTGGAGTTGTTACACTACAGATGTTCCTTGCCTTACTATGGTTCGACTTACGATATTCTGACTTTACGACGGTGTGATAGTGATGCACTTTCAGTAGTCATCAGGCTTTGAATTTTGATCTGTTCCTGGGCTAGCAATATGCAGTATGATGCTCTCTACTGATGCTGGACGATGGCAGCATCCACTCAGCCATGCTTTCAGTCTCTGTAGCAATTGTGAGCATAAACATCTCATGCATTGTTTAGCATCATATCATACAGTGATTTTTTCTATGTTCAACTAAATTTTCCCAAGCCCATTATGTCTACTAAATACTCAAGTGTATCTCTTGCTTCTGGTGCAATAAAATAGGACAGGATAAACTTTGTATTCATTTATTTACTTTTGAATATTGGTATTCAGTTATAGCAATTGTTTGCTTATTTAATTATTCAGTAACACTAGTTATTTCTTTATTTCTTTATTTTTTTATTTTTACACTGGCCGATTCCCACCAAGGCAGGGTGGCCCGAAAAAGAAAAACTTTTACCATCATTCACTCCATCACTGTCTTGCCAGAAGGGTGCTTTACACTACGTTTTTAAACTGCAACATTAACCCCCTCCTTCAGAGTGCAGGCACTGTACTTCCCATCTCCAGGACTCAAGTCCGGCCTGCCGGTTTCCCTGAACCCCTTCATAAATGTTACTTTGCTCACACTCCAACAGCACGTCAAGTATTAAAAACCATTTGTCTCCATTCACTCCTATCAAACACGCTCACGCATGCCTGCGGGAAGTCCAAGCCCCTCGCACAAAAAACCTCCTTTACCCCCTCTCTCCAACCTTTCCCTGGGCCCGACCCCTACCCCGCCTTCCTTCCACTACAGACTGATAAAACTTTTGAAGTCTTCTGTTTCGCTCCTTTCTCTCTACATGTCCGAACCACCTCAACAACACTTCCTCAGCCCTCTGGACAACAGTTTTGGTAATCCCGCACCTCCTCCTAATTTCCCAAACTACGAATTCTCTGCATTATATTCACACCACACATTGCTCTCAGACTTGACATCTCCACTGCCTCCAGCCTTCTCCTCCCCTGCAACATTCATCACCCATGCTTCACACCCATATAAGAGCGTTGGTAAAAACTATACTCTCATACATTCCCCTCTTTGCCTCCAAGGACAAAGTTCTTTGTCTCCACAGACTCCTAAGTGCACCACTCACTCTTTTCCTCATCAATTCTATGATTCACCTCATCTTTCATAGACCATCCGCTGACACGTCCACTCCCAAATAATCTGAATACATTCACCTCCTCCATACTCTCTCCCTCCAATCTAATATCTCAATCTTTCATCCCCTAATCTTTTTGTTATCCTCATAACCTTACTCTTTCCTGTATTCACCTTTAATTTTCTTCTTTTGCACACCCTACCAAATTCATCCACCAATCTCTGCAACTTCTCTTCAGAATCTCCCAAGAGCACAGTGTCATCAGCAAAGAGCAGCTGTGCAACTCCCACTTTGTGTGTGATTCTTTTCTTTTAACTCCCGCCTTTGCCAAGACCCTCGCATTTACTTCTCTTACAACCCCATCTATAAATATATTAAGCAACCACTGTGGACATCACCATCCTTGTCTAAGGCCTATTTTACTGGGAAATAATTTCCTCTTTCCTACATACTCTAACTTGAGCCTCACTATCCTCGTTAAAACTCTCACTGCTTTCAGTAACCTACCTCCTACACCATACACTTGCAACATCTGCCACATTGCCCCCTATTTCCACCTGTCATATGCCTTTTCAATCCATTAAAATGCCACAAAGACCTCTTTAGCCTTATCTAAATACTGTTCACTTATATGTTCACTGTAACACTGGTCCACACACCCCCCCCTTTCTAAAGCCTCCTTGTTCATCTGCTATCCATTCTCCGTCTTCCTCTTAATTCTTTCAATAATAACTCTACCATACACTTTACCAGGGATATCAGCAGACTTATCCCCCTATAATTTTTGCACTCTCTTTTATCCCTTTGCCTTTATACAAAGGAACTATGCATGCTCTCTGCCATCCCTAGGTACCTTACCCTTCCTACATTTATTAATTAATTGCACCAACCACTCCAAAACTATATCCCACCTGCTTTTAACATTTCTATCTTTATTCCCATCAATCCCGGCTGCCTTACCCCCTTTCATTTTACCTATGCCTCACGAACTTCCCCCACACTCACAACTGGCTCTTCCTCACTCCTACAAACGTTATTCCTCCTTGTCCTATACCGAAATCACAGTTTCCCTATTTTTCATCAACATTTAACAATTCCTCAAATATTCCCTCCATCTTCCCAATACCTCTAACTCTCCATTTAATAACTCTCCTCTCCTTTTTTTAACTGACAAATCCATTTGTTCTCTAGGCTTTCTTAACTTGTTAATCTCCTCCAAACTTTTTCTTATTTTCAACAAAATTGTTGATACATCTCACCCACTCTCTCATTTGCTCTCTTTTTACATTGCTTCACCACTCTCTTAACCTCTCTCTTTTTCTCCATTACTTTTCCCCCCTTGCATCACTTCTACTTTGTAAAAACTCTCATATGCTAACTTTTTCCCCCTTACTATTTCCCCTTTACATCATCATTCACCAATCGCTCCTTTCCCTTTCCCCGCACCCACTTTCCGTAACTACAAACTTCTGCTGAACACTCTAACACTACATTTTTAAACCTACCCCATACCTCTTCGACCCCATTGCCTATGCTCTCATTAGCCATCTATCCTCCAATAGCTGTTTATATCTTACCCAAACCGCCTCCCCTTTTAGTTCATAAACCTTCACCTCTCTCTTCCCTGATGCTTCTATTCTCCTTGTATCCCATCTACCTTTTACTCTCAGTGTAGCTACAACTAGAAAGTGATCTGATATATCTGTGGCCCTCTATAAACATGTACATCCTGAAGTCTACTCAACAGTCTTTTATCTACCAATACATAATCCAACAAACTACTGTCATTTCGCCCTACATCAAAATCTTGTATACTTATTTATCCTCTTTTTCTTAAAATATGTATTACCTATAACTAAACCCCTTTCTATACAAAGTTCAATCAAAGGGGTCCCATTGTCATTTGCACCTGGCACCCCAAACTTACCTACCACACCCTCTCTAAAAGTTTCTCCTACTTTAGCATTCAGGTCCCCTACCACAATTACTCTCTCACTTGGTTCAAAGGCTCCTATACATTCACTTAACATCTCCCAAAATCTCTCTCTCTCCTCTTTATCACGTAATATATTCATATTCGACTTAGGATATTTTTCAACACATGATAGGTTCATTGGAATGTAACCCCAAATGCGTTGATACTTCTGGAGTTGTTATAGTAGACTAGGTAATGTGCTTGTATTATAAATGTCAATTTTGTTTCAGGTACAATGCAGGAAGAGGTTCACAGAAAGACAGAGCCTCCTGGTGTCCCATGGGAGGAGAGTTTCCGACTTCCGAGGTCTGTCCACCCTGATCACTATGATTTATTTTTGCAACCCAATCTATCAACCAAGTTATTTCATGGCAGTGTGACAATTCATGTCACAACATCAGAGACTCGGGACTACTTCCTTATTCACACAAAGTGGCTCACCATTACTCAGACTGAAGTTGTCAAAGTGATGGGTAGTGAAACAGAGGTGAGGTCAGTCACTGTACATTCACTAAATCTCCTTCATTTTACCCTTTCAGGGTCGACAGGTCCTCTCAGAGTCTTGTTCTCAGGGTCGGCCAAATTTAAAAAAAAAAAAATTTCTTATGAAAAGATAGAGAATCTATTCCCGATCATAATGACACCAAAAGTATGAAATTTGATGGAAAACTTACGGAATTATGCTGTCGCGAAGTTAGCGGTCTCGACAATGTTTACGCTGCAATTTTGCCCACTTTGAGCCCTATTTTCGGCCAATTCCAGTGTATTTGTCGACAAAAATCATAACTATTTTGCTAGAACTCCATTTTTTCTATCGAATGAGTACAAGAAACCACCCATTTACCGATTTCAACTATTCAGTACAGTGGTCAGAATTTAGCAATTTTGCCAATTTCACACAAATTTCAAAAGATGCCAATTTCCGAATAGTGTCCAGAATAAACAAGAAAGACATTCCTGGCACTAAAATAACATTTCCTCTGTTCATTAGTCACGTCCCCTTGCCCCTCTTACATTCTTTTGCTTTCCACTTTGAATTTTTATTCTCACAAAAAAATTCAAGATTTACTGTTATGCAGACTACTGCACTGGTGTAGAAATGGTATAAATATTATCAGCGCACTTGTGAAAGAATATTAGACTCACCAGTTGATGTGTATTGGACGCATAGCATGATTTGTTTACTTTTGAACTTTGATAAAAATCGAACATTTTTGCTACTTTGAGCGCAATTTCAAGGTAGTTTTCTTTGTAAAACCAGTCAAAATCATCACAATTTCTGTAATATGTCTTCCATTCTATAAAATGAGACCAGGAAAACTAGAATACAACAATAAATACCATACGAAAATACAGTGCAAAGTTGCTGTTTTAATCCAAAAACACCGTCAGAGTTTTTTTTTTCTCATTACGCACTGTGTGCTGTAGGATTTTTTTTATACTGTGCACACTGACCACATAGACCCATTCTTTCATATGTAGGCCTACCAGCTTTCTCTCACTAGATTTGAGGGCGCCAGAATTTAGGCATACTAGTACGTCAAAAACCCTGGTGCATAAGCCGTACTAGTACGGCCGAAACCCTGAAAGGGTTAAACCTCTTTATGTCTCCCAGTCTACCAATATCCTTCTCTCATCACCTCCATCTTTTCTGTTCCACCATCTCTTCCCCTTCACCATTTCTTCTCTCCATTATCTTTTTTACCAATGGCATTGTACTTCTGAATGACACTTACAGGTTTAGAGCTTTCTGTGAATGTACTATAATACAGTGGAACCTTGGTTTTTGTGATTAATCCATACTAAAAAATCTGACAAAAACCGAATTGTACGAAAACTGAAGCAATATTTCGCATAAGAAATAATGTAAATCTGATGAGCTTGTATCTCTGTCTCTGATTATCTGTCTCTCTGTCTGCTAGTCTCTTTCTGTCTGCTTGTCTCTCACTCTGTCTCAGAGAGAGCCACTGTGAACCAACAGGTATTCTTATGCATTATATCCACAAGCACAGTATAGCACTTTGGATTTTTTAGGTTATCCTAGGTAATTTATGTTATGTATAATTGCATTTGTGTGTACCTGTGAGACAGATAAAAAGAGATAGAGACAGACAGAGAGAGAGACAGATAAACAGACCCTAAACTTGGGGTTAACATCACTTTTCTCTTAAAAGGGGAGTGTTAATATGACATTTGTGGTGCACAATGAGTGTTAAGACCCATTCTATGCTGACCAGGCATCTCAGGCCAATCATGCCAAATTTGGAGGCAGGAAAAATAAAACGTATATACATACGTTTGGGGTGTTAGTGGTAAGAATGTATATATACGTTTGGGGTGCTAGCTGTAAGAACGTATGTATACGTTGGACCATTTAGGGGTTAAGCATTGCTTGCTGCAGGATTTTTTTGTATGGTGCACACTTACCGCATAGACCCATTCTCTCATATCTAGGCCCAAATTTATCGCTCACAGCTTATTTGAGTTAGCTGAGCTCATGGCATTGCACTACTGGACCAACACTGGCTTCCAAGCCGTTATATAATGGGACCAACACCAAAAGGGTTAAGTATTCTGTAAGCATTAGGATTAATCTGCCTGAAATGCAATGCATGCTATTAGCTTTCATTTGTGCTTAACAATATGTTATTACATCTGAACTACATTATGTGTATACTGCAAAAAAGAAATAAAGTATTGATATTTATTTGTAATTGTGGCTGGGATGTATTTCTTCTTTCCACAATAATGCTTATGCCACATGTGTATAAACACAACATTCAATCATACTGGTCTACTGACCACTTGATTTGTACCCTGGGCTTCAATGATCTTGTCCCAGTCAACAGATTAATCCTACTGTTATGTATTCTACTCTTCTCAGACAAAACAAGGTCTGACAGGAACAACATGTTATACAAGATTAGGGATGATTTCATGTATCTAAAACAAAATTTCAGTGTTTATTTTTATCTCTTCAAGAACCTTGTCATTGATGAGTCTTTGATAATTTTCCAAGGTAGACTCATTCAAGCAGTAAATACCAAGCAAGAGGAAACACTTTGGTGTTATGGGATTGTGAAACAGTCCTGGTATTGGATCTGATTGTGTACACAGACAGCAAAACATTGAAATATACCTGGAAGTTATTTTGGGTATCTCAGGTGATGTGGTGAAAAATATGATGGAACCACATCTTAGTAAGGGCATACATTATACACAGATAACTGGTACTCATTGATTTCCTGCATGTAAACATGACAGACCTGTGGTACAGTGCATGGAACATGTCAGCATATGCCCAGATTCAATCTGGGCATATGTTTACATGGTACTTCACCGTACCGGTACCAGTGCAGGCATTGGTGGTACTGGTGAGGTTTCATGCTAATGATATTATGGCATTTTTGTGGCATGACACACAGGATGAAACATTGTTGACATTGATTCACCACTACAGAATGAAAGACACAGGTAAGGTAAACAGGTAAGGTATTCTGAGACTTGGTGCTGTCATGCATTACACTGCCAGTGTCTTCAGTGGACAAATGTGACATACAGATTGGGTTTGCTGATTGTGTCTGCAAGAGTTACAAATAGTACATGAAACTCTTCTTCCATCTTGTAGACATTGGAATGCTCAATCATCATCATCTTTGTTGGGTTTATGAGGGCCACTGACAGCATAAGCCGTATTGAGCCCGGTTTCTCGATGGTACGAGGAAAAATTGTTGCCCAAGGCTGGGCACTGAGAGAAAAGGAACAAAAGTTCCTTTGTAAATAGAGATAGAAACTTGAAGTTTCCAATTAGATCCAGTGGACCCCCTTGCCAGGCCCCAGCAGAGTGGGACGCCCACCTGAGTTCAGTAACCGGCTTCCCACCAAAGACTGATAAAGAATTTTCCACAGAGTGGAAAAATGGAGCTGGCTAAAAGTAAGCCAATAAACAGGTGCCCCTCCTGTAGAGTACCTGGCGGGCAAAATAGACGAGGACAAGCGTCCCAGAGAGAATGGGGGAAATTTGTCATCGATACTCAGGTGAGAGAGAGACGTCCACACCTGACGAAGGCTGGCACAGAAGTCCGGAATGCTCAGTGCACACAATATGTACCAGATGAAGATCAGCTACAGACCACCATATGCCTACTTTTATTTGTCATCAGGCAAATACATGAAAACCAGGTCACAACACCCTCAATTCACATGTGCCACTGATCTGATCACCAAATACCCTCTAGTTTGAAGTTTGGTGATCGCTTTCTAATGAAATTTCCTACTACAGGTAAGAAATAGGCTCAGAGGATATAAGAACATAAGAACATAAGAAAGGAGGAATGCTGCAGGAGGCCTGCTGGCCCATACTAGGCAGGTCCTTTACAATTCATCCCACTAACAAAACATTTGCCCAACCCAATTTTCAATGCCACCCAAGAAATAAGCTCTGATGTGAAAGTTCCACTCAAATCCAACCCCTCCCACTCATGTACTTATCCAACCTAGATTTGAAACTACCCAAAGTCCCAGCCTCAATAACCCAACTAGGTAGACTGTTCCACTCATCAACTACCCTATTTCCAAACCAATACTTTCCTATGTCCTTTCTAAATCTAAACTTATCTAATTTAAATCCATTACTGTGGGTTCTCTCTTGGAGAGACATCCTCAAGACCTTATTAATATCCCCTTTATTAATACCTATCTTCCACTTATACATAAGAACATAAGAAAGGAGGAACACTGCAGCAGGCCTGTTGGCCCATACTAGGCAGGTCCTTTACAATTCATCCCACTAACAAACATTTGACCAACCCAATTTTCAATGCTACCCAAGAAATAAGCTCTGATGTGCAAGTCCCACTCAAATCCAACCCCTCCCACTCATGTACTTATCCAACCTAAATTTGAAACTACTCAAAGTCCTAGCCTCAATAACCCAACTAGGTAGACTGTTCCACTCATCAACTACCCTATTTCCAAACCAATACTTTCCTATGTCCTTTCTAAATCTAAACTTATCTAATTTAAATCCATTACTGCGGGTTCTCTCTTGGAGAGATATCCTCAAGACCTTGTTAATATCCCCTTTATTAATACCTATCTTCCACTTATACACTTCGATCAGGTCTCCCCTCATTCTTCGTCTAACAAGTGAATGTAACTTTAGAGTCTTCAATCTTTCTTCATAAGGAAGATTTCTAATGCTATGTATTAATTTAGTCATCCTACGCTGAATGTTTTCTAACAAATTTATGTCCATTTTGTAATACGGAGACCAGAACTGAGCTGCATAATCTAGGCGAGGCCTTACTAATGATGTATAAAGCTGCAGTATGACCTCTGGACTTCTGTTGCTTACACTTCTTGATATAAATCCCAGTAATCTATTTGCCTTATTACGTACGCTTAGGCATTGCTGTCTTGGTTTAAGGTTGCTGCTCACCATAACCCCCAAGTCCTTTTCGCAATCTGTATGGCTAAGTTCTACAT